ATTTTTCTAGGATATAGTTCTCTTTTTCTATACCTATGCAATTTTTTCTATTGGTGCCAATGTAGCCAGGTCAGAAAACCTGTTATGGCCAGGTAGACCAAACACAGAATATGTTTTGATGTAAAGCTGAATTTGTCATATTTTGTAGCAGAATTGGGTATTGGAGACCATCTGTCTGGATATTGCATTTTCTTAGATAATACTATTATTGGATATTTGCTTTAGAAAGGACTTGAGGTTAGTTTGGCTCCAGATTTGAGTGATGTGACTTGCTCTTGATTCTGTGTTTCCTTGATTTTCTGTGTGTTTCCTGTGTTTATCCAAAGGCAAAGCCCAAAATTCCAAAACAGAAAACCACAGGAAAAGCCACTCTGGTAATGCTTGTCTTCAGCAAAAACAAATAGCAAGATAAATTTCCTGCAATGCTTTTTTTCATTACAAATGTAGTCTGGGTTCTAGACCAAATAGTCTAGCTAAGAGATCATGTTTTTTTAGGTTAACTATTCAATTACAGATTCTTATTTAAAACAACTAAATGTCTTTCAGTTTACCATTTTCAGTTTCTTTTGATCTTCTTCAGCCTTGACAATTGTATTTGCCCTTTGCTAGGATATTTGATTCCTTTCTTGAAAAGTGATGAATGGTTCATTAATGAACAATTAATGAATCTGAGTTCATCTTAAAACTGTGTAGCCCAGCATTACTTAAGCTGCTGTACAGGGAAGAAAGGTAACCCTAAGCAGCTTTTCACTAAGTTATTTGTCACTCTGTGAGAGATAGTGCATGTAAAACTTTTGTAACCCATTCTATCCCACCAGGTATTTCCTGATTCTTGTAGCATGCAGTGCTTCCACATCATATAAATAAATAAATAAAAATGACACAAGGATTACATGAGGACTTTTGTTAAAGTCTGTCCTCTGATCTCCTCTGATATTCTTTTTATTTTTTTTTACTGGACACTTCTGTGAGTCCCCATTATAGATATATTTTCTTAGGTTCTCCACTGGGAACCAAGGACAACTTACACGTAGAAAGAAGTTCCACTGTAAGTACCTGAAATAATGAAGCTTCGTTGTAAATGTTTGTATCTCTTGCCCTTTAATCTTTTCCCCTCTACAAGAGTATTCTGGATTCTTCTGCTTATCCTCTTTGGCATTCCCATCAAGCTCTGTCACAGTTGGGAGCCAGTCTGGATCTACATGAAGCCAACAATTAAGTATGTGTGGATTGTCTTGTTTGTTGCTACAATTAAGTAGTTCTGGGTTTTTTTTCAGAAGCGATCTAATTTGACTCTCTCCTCTACGTACATAACAACTTGTGTAGATGTTTTTACAAGTCAGATCGCAGATGTGTAATTAGGAATCAGTGCTGCCTTTAAATGAATTGGATCGTTGTTACATTTTCCTAGTGAAGAGTTCTTGGTAAGATGCAGTGCAACAAAAAGTAAAAGCAATGCATTTATTGTTGTACATTCAGTTGGTTTTATGTGAGACAGTTAACTGGAGTTAAACTAGATCTTTCCTACTGAATCAGAAAATACAGATAAGCTTCTCTGCATATTTAAGGTTTTTGTGTTTTCCGTTTTGAGAAGGAAACACAAAAGGAGAATGTGAAACAGGAAAGGAGCACCATCTAGAGTTTAAAGAGAATGCTGGAGAACAAAAAGTATGTGAAATATTACCCATCAGTTAAAATGTATTGCCCATGTAATTCTTTGGCTGACTTGTTTGTATATAAGGAAAGAAAAGGTTCTGGAAATGTAATAATATGATGTTCTTGGTCACTGTGGTGACAGAGAAGCAGGGGAATGTAGAATGAGATGTGATACAGCTGAAGAATGATGTTTCTCTCAATTACTGCCTTTGATACAGTCTGAATTTTTTTGGTCGTTTGTCTCTTGTGGTAAGTAAAAGCATCTGAAAGTTTTTGGTTTCTGATCTCCAAAGAATTTAAATAATAGTAGGCTAAAACCATTCACTTTTTGAAATAATATAGTTTTCTACACAATTACTAGACCTGAACAGGCTGCAACAGTTCGAAAATGTTCATCTTCACGTTGACAGTTGCAGTTAAAGTTATCTAAGAACCTGCAAATTATTTTTTTAGAACAGAATAAAAGTAACAGTTGCAGGTTTGGACTGACACTGTGTGGTAGAGGGCTTTAGGGGGGTAGTTGCCCGTAGTTCCATTATTCTGGAAAAAAGAACAGTGGATGTTTAATGTGAGTTCTGGGGAAAAACAAAACAAAACAAAACAACAAAAAAAAACAACAAGGTTTCATCTCTAGATGAATCCCCATATCTCAGATGATATCAGATGAGATATTTTTGCTTTTTTTTCTATGAAAGGAAGTAATTTATACTCTTAACCATTCTTATTTTGGAGCTGTGATCTCACTTTAACAAAAAGCAAGGTACAGATGTACTGCTTGTCATTTATTGCAGGTTCCTGCTCTGTTCCTGTAAATATGGCAGCTTGAGATCATGATAAACACTAACTGGACCTTCTCTGCCCTCATAGTTAATGATAGTCTCTCTTTTTCTTGCATATTTACTTTTTTTTTTTTTTTTTAAGATTTTATTCTAAAGGGGATTTTTTTCAGGAACTATGAATGCTTATATTCATTTTAAGATAAAACTGTTACAACTGTAATGAATTAGACCAGTCGCTCATTTTTTCAGAGTATAACCACTATAACACTATTTCAGTACAAAAAAATTTACTTAACTGTTGTAGTAAGGTTAGGAAATACATTCAGACCAAAAGGTTCATTGGTCTTCCCTTCTCAACAGGAGTGAAATTTCATCTTTTGGGATGCTATTTATATTTGTTTTCTAGACTTTTGTTAGCAACAGAATGCCACCTATATCAATCTGTGCATTCTAGACATGAAAACATGAAAAAAAAGAGGCAGGTAAAGGGAAAAGCATTTTTTACAAACATTGTTTTCATGTTAATTCCCCATAGCAATTAGAAATAAGTTTCTGTTATTTACCATTCCACATCTGATCTGTGAAAAAAGGGCATACGTGAAATAAGGAACTTATATCCCCAAGAAGAGGAACTTCCTGTTTACATGAATCAACTGCAGAACTAGGGGATTCTCCTGCTTTGAGTGTTGTAAGGAAGCTGAGCAGCAAGTTAAAAAAGAGAAGTACTGACAGCAAAAGTTTTGCAGGCTTTGGAATCGATTGTCTAAGTTGCTGCAAGATGCAATTATTGATAGCCAGTAGGAGTCATGGGTACTCTGCCTGCAAAGAACAAGGCCTTGCTTCACTAAATCAGTAAGATAATGTAACGGATCAGGGATAAGTGCTGCGGCACTCAAACTTTTCTAAATGATAGAATTAAGGAACAGGCAGCTTCTGAAGGGGTTCAGTGTTTTCCACGTGTAATTCATGTACTGGCAGATGCTGCTTGCCAAGAAAGTCTGTGATGCTACGGGAAGACCGAGAATACTTTGTGTTTGTTTAAGAACATAGTGAGCAGTATATAGGAGAGAAATCTGACTGACCTGACAGGATCAAACCTTCTTATTTTCCACATTTACTAAAAAGCTCTCAGCTTGTAACACAACAGAATCAGTCATTCTGTTCTGAAAAAAATATGGACAAAAATGTCTGGCGTTTGCAACATTTAATCCTTCAGTGCATCACATTTCATGTCACGTGAGTTGACTGGGGAGATCTACTTCCATTCTTCAGTTTCTATTACAAGTTTCTATTGTAGGAGAACATTGGCTTTTTCCTCACTTGACACATTTCTCATCGGTAGGTGACATCCAGAGAGAAGGACTTGAAGAATGCTGTGATTCCTTATGTCATAGAAGTGGATCCCAAGGACAACCACGCTAGATATTCAGGTGCCTTATATCAATTATATCTTTTAGCACAGAATGCAAATGTTGTCCGGCTGATGATGCAGTTACTTTTTACTGAGAAATTAAGGGAATTAAAAATGAGGGCAGACTAAGAAGCTTTTGGGGATTAAGGATTTCTGGATACCTTGAGAACTGCCAAACTGTCAGAATTCAGTCAGGTGAACCAAGTTCATACCTAGCATAATCCTAATAAAGACACCATTGCTACAACAATTGCAACAGCTTTTTTTGACGACAAACTTTTTGTGCTGTCTTTAAAGTTGAGAATGAAAAGCTCGATGTCATTAAATATGCAGTTGCCTCCTCCTATTTTGGGATGATTATGCCTCACCAGGCTCTTTTCTCTATTTGTACCCTAAGCATTAGGCATGTTTGATGGAAATAGGCATACATTGCCTTCCAGACACAGGGAGGAATTATGTGAAGTGTGTACCTTGACCTCTTCACTGTGAAAGTCACAGTGAGAGTCACGTTAAGTCCTCTATTATTAGCACCAGCAGTTCCCTGGAGTCCAAAATGTGCTAGATGTTGCAGAGAAACATATAAGCAGTTTGGCCTGTAGCCTTCACAAGTCTGAAACCTGTAAGCTACAGCTTTTTACCCGTTGCTGTCTGCATATTCCATAGTTTTATTCCCTGTAAATAACAGATGTTGGGATGGGATTTAACATGTGGCAAGAGTTTGTTAGGTGAGATCAAACACTGCACGGAGAGCGTTAGGACAGCATTTGGCACGAGCACTCCTGCGGTCACTGCTGCAACCTTTGGTAAGTTGCTAGCGCAGAGATAAGGCCCTGAACTGGAGAACACACGTTAGTAATGTAGCATCCCGCAGAAGAGAAGGCTTTTAATCTGATTGTGGGCTAGACCACGATTTGGGAAACACTTTTTGACGCGGTGACACAACAGTGGCAGCCCGGCAGCGGTAAGCGACACGCTACGAGGGCACGGAGCCAGGGCAGCGACTCCGCGGGGCGCACTCCACGGCAGCAGCAGCCGCTGGGCCCGGGGCAGCGGCAGCGCGGAGGCCGCGGCAGCGGGGCGGGGGCGGGGGCCGGGCCGGGCCGCACTACAAGTCCCGTCAGGCGGCGCGGGCCCCGCCAGCTCCCGGCGAGGCCGTGGCGGGGCGAGGCGAAGGGAAGGGAGGCGAAGCGAAGGAAGGGCGGCGAGGCGATGCCGGCGGCCGGCTCGGAGGCGGAGGAGGGCGGCGGGGAGGGCGCGGGGCCCGGCGCCGGCGCCGGCTCTGTGGGCGAGCAGCCGGGGCCGTGCTCGCCGAAGCTGTGCGGCTACCTGCAGAAGCTGTCGGGCAAGGGCCCCCTGCGCGGCTTCCGCAGCCGCTGGTTCGTCTTCGACCCCCGCCGCTGCTACCTCTACTACTTCAAGGGGCCGCAGGAGGCGCTGCCCCTCGGGCACCTCGACATCGCCTCCGCCTGCTTCAGCTACCACCAGCCCGAGGCCGGCGCTGCCGCTGGGGACGAGGGGGCCGCCTTCGAGGTGCACAGCCCCGGCGGCGCCGTCGCCGTGCTCAAGGTAGGCCCCGGGGCGCCGTGCGCGGCTCGCCCGGCCCGGCCCGGCCCCTCGGCTTCCCGCTGCTGGCTTCGGTTTGTTGTTGTGAGGGAGAGGAGTAATCCTTCCCCAACCCGGGGCGGATTAGAGATGTCTGGCTACGCCTAGTGTTTGCTTCATCTTTGCCTTAGTGAGGAGTTTCTGAAGTGCCCCGCTGAACGGGGGAGGTATTGCCTCAGGTGAGCGCAGGGCTGGCGCGCTCGAGCGGGTTCTGTGGAGACGTCTCGGTGGAGAAGGGATTGCCAAGGAAATCTGGTGGGCTGTGGGTTTGGAGGCTTTCACTGGCGTTTTTCACTTTTGGGATGTTTATTTTGGAAATATAGATGGCAAAGTCTTAATCTAGTCTGTTCTGGGAGGAAGGAAGAGGAGGGAGAATTGTTTCCCGATAGCCGCGGAGGCTGCGGATCGTGCTGTCTGCAAGGACGCAGACCTTCAAAGGATGAGACTAAACATCAGGCTTGTTTTTACACATCTTTCCTTTGTCGTCATGGCTGGGTGGGAGGGGGGACAAAGAAGCCATTTCCACTTGATAAAGTAGGAATAAATTAATCTAAGACTGTATTATTTTGATTGCTATTAATGCATATATTTTGCTCAAGGAATGCTCTCTGTGTGAGCTTTCACACGAACTGCTTTCTTTTGCAGCAAGTTTCTTAATATCAGATTATAAAGAATCCATGAAGTTATTTAAGTAAAACAGCAGAGCTTTGTATTGAATATTAGAAGAGATCTTTCTTATGTGGTTACTTGGTAGTGGGGATTTGAACAGCGGTAAAAAATGCTGATACTGTAGAATGTGTTTGTATACATTTTTCAATACTCTGTAAACGTTTGTCAAAATAAGGAATTATTAACATACTTTGCTAAAGAGTAAACAAGTTATCTAACTGGAAAACTATTGTGATAATAATTTAACTACGTTTATTTAAGGAGAAACAGTGTAATCAGCAATTTTGCATGTAATCACTTGTAAATATGACTTTTTTGTCCATATAGCCATGTGTTGTTGTTACTTTCCATGAATCTGCCTTTATACCCTGAGTATTTATCTTACAGAAGCTAAAACTGCAAACTGGGTGTAAGGGTTTGTTTTATTTTTATGTTACTATTGAGTGTTTTTTTATATATGGAAATCTTCAGGAAAGTAAGTAGTGCACGTTTTATTTTGGGGATGTTTCTGAACAGGTAGGCCTTTGTTGGGAAATAAGTAGCTTATGATTTTGATTATAGTGGGAAATAACATGCTACCTGTGTAATGAATAGTCTGTCAAACAGTAGTAGTGCAACAGCAGCCACAGGTGCCTCTTCCACTCACGGAGATGGAATTGCTCAACAATGATGCACAAATGTAAGCAACGGGTGGGGGGTGTCCTTTTTTGTGTTTCTGTTGGTATCTTTTCATTGGTGATGTTACTATGCCTTTACTTTTCTCAGTCATTTTTTCCTGTACTCTCTAGGAAAGAACCTATGATAGCTGGAGATCTCTTCTTGTTTCCATACAGAGATTGAGAAAAGTCAAGGTCATTTCTGTAACTAGCAGAAAAAATAATTTATCTTCTACCTCTCATTGTTTTGAGGCTCGCCTTAAAGCAGCAAAGTGATTGTCCATAAAATGCTATTACGTTATAAGCATTTATACAATAAGGAATTAATGAAGATCTCAAGGGATATTGCAGGATCAGCTGGCCTCTTGCAGCTGTGTGATTCACCAGGGGTTAAGGCTTTTGGAGATGGAATTAATTTTCTTCTAGCATGATGGCTCTTTAAAGCCTATAAAAATATCTTGCAGCTAAATTAGGTAGAGACAAGAATGAATTCAAGATGTTAATTTAAAAAAGAAAACCAAAGGACTGGCTGATCCAGCCTCTGTTGAAAACAAATGTGGTTTAATCTTTGAAGAAAACATTACACACAGAGCACGAGGACGAAAGTCAAATCAAATGTTGCCTTCACCCTCTAACTCACATGCCTTATTTTCCTCAATCTGCTTCTTGTTCAAAATTTCCAGTTCTCATCATCTGGTCTTTCTCATTCAGTGTTATAGGCTGAGAAGAGCAGTAAGAAATAAGCAACTGGAATTCCAGATTGCAATGATGGCGCTGTTCAGGAATGCATTATTTCTTCAGAATGCCTCAGTATTTTTGTTAATGTAATGATTTCATCATCTGGATTGCTCAGTCTTTGTATTTTATGGGAACTGAGGATGGTATGATAAAATTGGGGTTTGTTTCTCAGTTTGATAGCAGTCTGAAGAAAAAATACATACTGTAGCCTTCATAGCTAATAAAGCAAATCATTCATTATTTAGAAATGTAGACAATCAGCCTGACAATTAAGTGATTGTAGTTTTTCCTGTGTATTTTAAGCAGTTAAATTACGTTAGAAGAAGCAAAATATATGTAAAAGGCTTTTTCCAACCCCTTTTTAAAAATACATAACAAGTACCATAATTTTAGGTGAAGAGTCAGAGAAAAGTATGCACTTTGGGAATTGTAGATGGAGAATTGTTTGAGAATATTGTGGAAAGGGCCTGATCCTGCAAATACTTGTTGTGGCATAGAATGCTGGTAATACAGTCAAGTGAACATTTGCTCATATTGGCACAGTGAGGTCTGTCATTAAGGGAGAGAAGAATTAGCATTATGAATATATAAACAGGTTGTTTCTCATTAATTTTTAAAGCAGCGTGTTTTGGCTAATGGCTCTGTTCCCTCGCTTTTGAAACAAAGCAATGCTGGCTGGTGATGATAGCCTGTGTGTCTGGTCACTTGTGGGTGGATAACTTCTTTGTGGACAGTGGTGAATTGGGGTGGGGTGGAGAGAATTGCACAGACTTCTTTAAAACAAAAAACAAACACACATTTTTCTGGGTTATTGGCCAAGTAGTACGTGTTCCAGGCACTGCGGAGTTCGGAGCCCAGATCCTTGAAAGTGTTGGACACCAAACTCAGTGAAATCAGAACTATTTAGGAGCTTTTACTCCAATTTGTCAATAATCTTTAAGGCTGTGGCAGTGATAAATGGGGTCTTCGTGAACCTCTCAAGGTGCTGAGTTTAGGTAGTGTTGGTTTAGGACCCAGCATGGTTAGGTCTTAACTCAGTTTAGAAGACAGCTCAGTTGTGAAGGTGATTTGTTTCCTGAGTTGGTCAGACTTTTTTTTTTTTTTTTTTTTAAGACTTTGCTGATTAGTGGTTACAGTACTTGAACTGAGTATTGGGCAGCCCTCCAAAAATAGACATCTGGTTTGCAATTTGCTGTTTGAGCACAACAGGGTTACAAAGTCTTAGGAAATACAGGCTTTCTGGTTGTGATCCCCTTTTCAAAACTGTTTGTATTATTGTCATATGTGTTCCACCGTGGTCCAGGTAGAGGATATCACTGTGCAGTTGTTTTTTCCAAGGACTTTTTCTGTTCATGTCACATATGCATCAGAAGCAGCCAGATCCTGCAGCATCGTTAGAACACAAGGAGGGTTTTAAGTAAATGATGTTGATTTTCCATCCTTTATGTTGAAAAGCACTGGGGACTACACGTCTCTTTACTTACCTTGTCTTCTGCTGCTGCTGTTGCCCACAGGGTTGCAATAGTAGTTCCTTTTCTGGCACTAGTTCAGATGACATTATTGCAAGTGTGGCTTTTTACACCTCTAACACATGAATGCTCTTCTTTGTATTGTTGCAGAATTTGTTCTGTTGTGAAAATGTCATTTTGTCAGAACTAATGGGTATAGTCATGCTGATACAGGTTTGTTCTTATGGGCAAGGGTCATATGGAAAGGAAAATTATTCTACTGTGAAATCAGTAATTGTTGAATTTAATAAGTGATTAAGAAGGCAAGTAGACCATCTGCATTCTTTCTGCTATTCTATTGATGGTGGTTTTTCTTCTAGCAAAAATACTTCTGTTAAGTTGTCAGTGACTAGCTGAGGTTCTCACTTACTGAAGAGCCACAAAATAGATGAGTACAAGTAAGGATTCTTTGCCAGTTCTGATCAGTGCTGTTCCTAGTTAAATGTTCTGTCTGTAATGGTGACCAGTAGCCAAATATTAGATGAAATCATGAGAAAGGGGGCAAGCGTGGGAGTTTCCCCTTCTATGACAGTTAAAGTCTCACATACCAAGTTTGCAGATTTTCCTTTTGTTTGTTTAGGAGGGGAAATGATAAACACTACATTCTGTGTGTGGTTTTAGAAAAAGCCATTTTCCAAGAACCAACTTGAATGAAGAGAAGTCATCATAACACAAGGTCGCAGGATGTTCTTTTACATGTAAAGAAAATAACGTAGATACTTATATGAACTAAGCCAAAAGTGTTCAAAGGGAATGGGAATCCTTTATAGAAAGAGAAGACCAATTATGTTAGGAAGGAATGCAAAATAACACACACAGTGCAGTGGCATGGTAATAAGGACTTCTTGGGAAATGATTTAAAACGGGAAGAGAGAAACACCTACTGCTTTGCCAAGCTGTTTGACACTGAAGGACCGTAACTGCTAAATGCCGCCCTGTGCCTCCGTGCCATCCCATGGAAACTGAGGGCATCTATCTGCTGCTCAACAGAGAACAGGTGCAGATGGGAATTTAAAAGCAATGGCAAGCAGCAGCTCCGATAAAATCAATTCATTGTTTCCTAAAGAGCTTTGGGAAGAGGATAATGGTACAAAATATTACAAGAGCTCATTAAGTTGCACTAGTCATGGGCAGAAGTTAATTGTAGGTATACCTTAGGTTGAGTCAGTGTGAATTACCTCATTAGCTGTGTTGTGGTAGCAGAGAACCGCTTAAACGCAACATCCTCTGTTAGTGGAAGATTTTTTAATAACGAGTGGTTTTCTGTGTGAGCACAGTAAAACCTTGCTTGACAAGGCCTGTGTGAAAATCTCAAGGGAATGTAGATTCTCAGATGTATTAGAAATGGACACTTGTTGCTGAGCAGAACTCCAAAGAACCCTTTGGAACAGCAGGGGAGGCGCTTGCTGCTGTGGTTGTTCCAAGAATGCCAGCGGCACCTGTGTGAATTGGTATTTCACAGGGCCCAAGTTCTTTGATGCTTTCTGAGAAACCACATCGACATATTTAAACTAGTTTGTTCACAAGTCTTTTTTGAAGGAAATATTCCCCTTGCCCCAGTTTCCTATGAGCAAGCAAGAGTAAGTATATGAGACTTGCTTCTGTTACAGAATGTAAATATGTTGCTTACAGGTCTGCCCTAGCAAATGAGGAAGGTGAGCCTACAGCATCCTCTTGTATCTGCTTGGTGTATTGCACTACTCAATTTGTTTTGTGTGTGCTTACTTGATTAGATTCACATATGCATATAATGTGCTGAGAGGAACTGGAGCATCAGCTCCAAGTATTACTGTCCCAGTTTTCTCACTAGCTTGCTTAAATTGTGTTTTGGAGCCATTTGCCGTAGGGTGTTCTGGATATTAAAGCTCATATGGATACAGAAAGGCCAAATTGTAAAATAAAAATTTATCTCTGATTGCTAAACACCAATATCACACACTGCTGATCGAGAGAGAGCACCCTGGGGGGGAGTCAGTTGTTGTTTGCTATGTTGCTTTAGATGTCTTGTAACGAACCGCTCTGAGTTGAGGTACGATGGTAAATGGATCTTTCATTTGACTAGACCAGACGTCAGCGTCTATCAGTAATGAAGATAAACCCGTGCCATTAATGTGCTTTATGCAGTACTTAGTTGTCTCTAAAGAGTAAAACAGTAATTTGCCCAGGTAGTGAGGGTTTTTCATTGGGAATGCCACCAAGCACTTTAGGAGAAGGCAGAGGGACTGGCTAGTGGCAGGACGCTCTGCGTGCTTAATAAGGACTTAGGCAGGTGTCTTTTCACAAGAATTAATTTCTTATTCCTTAACATACCACGTTACTAGCATCAATTGTTTGCTTTAGGTTGGCTTCTGAGGATATGTGTTTTAATTAAAATGACTCTCTTCAGGGAGCTCCTGCAGTGTGTTACCTTTATTTGTCTCTTGTTGGCATTTGTAGACCATCATTTGCCACATTTCGAAAGGACTCATATAGCTGTGATTCTGACTGAGGCTTACAGATGTTTGGCTTCTTGGACTCGTAGTAGCTATTCATACTAACGACTGTAGGCCTGTAGGTTATGTATATGAACACATAATAACACTTGATACAAGATAGCTCATGGGATGATCATGCAATTAGATGGCAGTACGATACATTATTAAATTGTTGGTTTCTGCTGATGATAAAGCAAATAAGTAATGAAAATGGGAATTTTTCTGTGTGTATGGGACTTTTTGTAATAAAGATGTATAGCTGTGTATCTAAACACTTTCTGTGTGAAATATAGGATGCTGCTGTGTTTTCTAGTGTTGTAGTTCAAAACTGGAGAAAACAAATCCTTGCATTTTAAGGGAAGTGGATTCGGTATGGAAGTCAGGGATATGAATGCTTGCACAACGTGTGTTGTCTACATTAGTGGTTATTTCTTTTAAATCATAACTGGTTTGAGGTAATTATAATTACCAGATCAGCAAAGGGATCTGGGTTGTTCCTTTTGGTTGCACTTGGGTATTCAAATGCCTGAGAGACGCACTGATCTCAGTAGCACTCTGCTTCCTTGTGTTGCAGGCAGCAACTCGTCAGGATATGACCTACTGGCTTCAGGAACTTCAGCAGAAAAGGTGGGAGTATTGTAACAACCTTGATGCAGCAAAAAGGGACAGTCGAACTTCTCCTACGCCAAGTGACTTTTCCAAAGGTCTTGTTGCCAAAGACAATCCTGGTAGGTTGAAAATTTGAGTAAAAGCTGTGTGTTTATATTCAGTGTAAGTTAATGAGCACAAGGCATAACACAAAAGAAGAACAGTGACCATAGTCTTTGGAATTTTTGTTTCATCTTTTTAAGTAACTATTTAAACTGCATATTTTGATGATACTGAAGTAACATGACATAAATGTAATTGTGTGTGATTTCATCTCTCTTTTGAAACCCATTGATTTCTTTAAAAACAGATTTTAAAAAATCAAGTAAAACAGAGTATTTCTATGACTAGGTTTCATGAAGAGGCCAAGTACAGTTGAGGCTTGTTGTCTTTTTGTAGTTTTAGATTCTTAACAGATAGTGTGTTCAGCATTCTGAATGTGAAGTGCAGGTATTAATGGGAGCAGGTATATCTTGTCTTCTGAATAACTGGACTTTGTTCTTGGAAATAACCATACTTGTTTTTTGGTGTGGTGGGTGTATACTTTGTGGTGGTTGTGATAAATACTCCTTGCTTTTTGCAGTTGGAAGACAGTTTGCACAGAGCATACACACATGAAATTCAGTCTCCATAATAGCTTCAACCAATCAAAATGTAATTTTAGACTTGAATCAGAGATATAAAAATGTAGCAATGTATTGTACAAAAGTATTCTGCTTTTTTGACTACACTGCTTTGACACTTCTGAAATGTTTCATTTCTAGATGGTTACAAAAATGAGTTGCTTGCTTATTTCTGTGACTGATAAATAAGCAAGCATTAAGAAATCCTATTCTATGCCAAGTTAAACATGTTAGTAAAGCTCTTTGGATTTAAGCAGTGTCTTGAGGTCAGGCATACTTCATCAACAAACTTTATATTTGGTTGTTTTCAATCTGCTCCTCCTGTGAACCCAGAAATGTTAAGCTGTCATCTTCCCCTCCCCCTGTTCAGATCCCATGCTGCCGCTTTGTCCTCTAACCCAGTTTACTGCTTTCATTTGAGAGCAGCCTGCTTGTGGCTGCTTGCTCAGCCACAGCTGGCTTCGGAGTCTGTTTCAGCAGGAGCTCAGCTTTGTGTCAGCTACGCCAGTTGAATAGCCAGCCACTCTAAACAGACGCTCAGTTATCTCCCTTGGTCTAGCACTGGTGCTAGTCTCACCCTTCCTTATGGTAGTGCAGGGAGTGAAGCTGGCAGGAAACATCTTTGTCTCCACATTAGTTTTTGGCTGGTGTGGCTTCCTGAAGTGGTTTACTGCAGGGACAGATGAGTGCTGGGATCACTGCAGGAGAATTGGTGGGAATATGAAGTAGGGTGGTTTGAGACGGCCTTTTTGTTGGTAGACAATCTGGTTAGCAGCTTGTCAAAGCGTATGCTGCAAAAATAGATGTGTTGCTGTGTAAAGACCTAACAGCTTGCAGGTGTTGGAAAGGGTAACAAGGTTTTCTTCTCTGAAATCTTTCTTGTTCTACTGTGAGCCTCTCACTCTCTTGCTATGTATTCTCCCTTTTTGCATTGTTGTGTGGTATTTGTTTGACCTTGTGCTGAGTTGGTTCAAGTCAAAGTTTAGCCAAAAGGGAAGGTTGTTTTTTGTTCTGTTTTCAGCTGGATTACTGAGTGGAATATATTTACTGTGCAATCAGGTGACTGGAGGAGCTGCTGGAAGTGGAAGGGAGGGGACAAGGGGTTGAGCAGCTGAGGATGGAAGTCAGCATGCAAGAGACAGGAGTGCCCTCTTCTGGGAGCAGACTGTTGGATTGGATAAACCGTATTGTGTGATTTAACGCCACATCTGTGTTCTTTCTGGCTTGTGCTTGTACCTCAGAACTGAGGTACACTGTGAAACTCATCTGTCTCTGCAGTCTGAGTACTGTTCCCTCATTCCTGCTTTGCTTCAGATGTAGCAATAGCAAGTGAAAAAGTGCCATCACTTTGGATCACTTTGCTGTGTTTTTTTTATAAGTTGTTGGGTTTTTCTGGATCAGCAAGATGAGCAAATTTGTTATAGGACTGTGGTGATATTTTTTTTAAATTCATTAAATCCAATGCAAATAATGACAAAAGGGAATGCATGGGCTGAGTAGACCTATCCCTTTTGTGGACAGCCAGCAGGTAAACTCCATTATGTGTAATTTGAAACTGCATCTGTAGTATCTCATTTGTGATACTGCTTATCGCAATACTGATTTTATCATAACTAAACCGTTTAAGCAGGGATTACTTCAGGGGAGAGTGGGAAGAGCCTGAATTATTATTTTTACTTTTCAAAGTACTGCAAAAGTTTTCCGTAGGACTCTTTAAGGCGCTGGTTCCATGCCAGTGACTAACCTCTGTCTTCTAAAAAGCCCTTACTGTGTGTTCAAAGATGTGCTTTATACTGGAGCACAGAAATTGGTTTCTTTTGCTAGGGCTTTAATGTGCTAGGGCTTTAGGTGCTATCACTAATGTTTTAAGTGGGGAAGTAGCCTGCTTTGGTCCAGAACCAAAACTGCTTGCTGTAGTCTTGTCTATTTTGTGCCTCCCCCTTTTCACTCCTGTATGTGTGTGTGTATATATATATATTTATTATTATTATTTATTTTTATTTTTTGAGCTGTTTTTGAGTTCAGAAGTCTGGAGGTCTGGAGTAACTGGAACGTATGTAGGGTTTGGGGAAAGCTTCATGGATCAAGTTTAGAATTTTTTTATAACAATCAAAGGAAGTGGTAAAGATGTGGGAAAATGGTTTAAAACATTTTTCAAGAGGGTTGTGGGAAAGCTTATGTAACAAAAGATTCTGTAGGATTTGTAATGGAGCTGCTTTAGTACCATGTAAGTCAAATAAATGATTTTCTCTTTTTAGGATTTGATTCTTTTTAATTGGTTGACTGTTTAAGTCTTCATCATTTCAGCTCTAAAGTAGACCATTCTTAATTTCTCAACTCTTAATTTGCAGTAATGCAAAACGGTATGTCATGTCTTTCTAAGATTGCAATGTTTTAAAATAAGTTCAAAAATGAGATTGGGGAAATGTTTGCATTAACAGCCATGTTGCTGTGCTGTATCTGCAGTGGAGTTCACACCTCCAATCAGTGTATTCAGAAAAAAGTCACAACTGGATGCAGATGTAAAAATCAGATCTTGACATTACTTTGTCTGCTGTCGTGAATATTTCTCTTAGATTACAGGCCACTGTTAATTACTAGTTAGTCATCACTGGTCTGTTGCGTAGAAAGGATTTAGTTGCTTTGTAGGAGGTATGCCATTTAGCAGAGCTACACCCCAGGTGCACATGGGGAAGTTTGACGTTAATTTTTATTTTTCTGAACTGCTTTTGAACCCTGGAATCTCAAAACAGGTATATTATCTAGCCTGTTACAGGCTCTTCTGCAAAGAAAGACTCCAATTTATTAATTTCTCTTTTAAAACCTGAAATAAACTTTTGAAGTGCAGATATTACAGTATTAATCTTACCTCCCAAACACAAATAACTGAGTTTTCATGTGTCTTTCAGCTATAGTTATTCTTAAAAAGAAAAAAAAATAATTAAGAGGTTCAACAATAAGCAAGATGATTAAAATATGACCTTACCACTGCTCAGTGCAGGAGGTATGGGCATGAGTAATATCAGCTAATGATTTAATAAGTAAGTTGTCCCATAAGGAGTTCCTGTGCATTATGCAATGCACAAATGGGGCTTTTGGGTGGGTATTTTCTCCTTGGCTTTCTCTGTATGTTCTTGTTGGCAAGAAAGTTCCTTTGTCTAAGCCATAACAGATGCAGTAAGAACCATCTTTCAAAAACTAACTCCTTTTTTCATTTTTTTTTCCTTGCTGCATAAATGTTTTTGGCAGTACGGAAGAGCAGGTGTGCTTTCTCAAGCTGCCTTACCCACTTAAGCTGTTGAACAACGGCTTTATATTCTGGGTCACCTTGACTGATGGATTCTTTCCGCTGTGGAAGGCTCACTTTTCTCTACTCCCATTTCAGCAGACGTTCAGTGGTACAGTTCAAGAACTCAGTTGATATTTTTCAAATCTTTTTTTTTTTTTACCAGCTCATGTTACAGAGCAGAACCTGCTGTGTGTGTTAAACTAGCTGTAGATCACAGAACATCCTGAGTTGGGAGGGACCCACAAGGACAATCCAGTCCAGCTCCTGAATGCTTAATGTCCGAATGCTTACATTTTATTTGAGGACGACTGAAGACTAGTCAAGTTCTTTCAGTTAGTTATGTTATGTGGCTTTTAGAAGAAGAAATTACAAGACGGCAAATAAGCTAGCTACCTGTTTGGGCTCTATTTCGTTCATTTTGTCGTATACAATTTATTATGCTAGTGATTGTTTTTGTATGCTTCAGCAAAGAAACATTGCAGAGATGCAATGTGGTTTTGGATTTCAGTTCTTTATTCCCCTCTGGTGATACTATGCCTATATCATGGGATTGCTGTTTTTCTTTCTTTCAAGTTAATAGACAGAATCAGTGCTCAGATAAGAACATTTTCATAATCAACATTGAAACACCTTCACTATCTGTATTCATTAAATAAGGAGACTGGAGGAGTTATTACAGAAAGGCAATTATTTTCTTCTTTTTTGTTGCATGTTTTGCTTTCATAGTGAGTTTTAATGACACATTCTTTCTTCCAGAGCATGTACCTGTGTAGGATACTTGTGTTAGGATAGCAGTGAGCCTGAAGCACCAGAAAGCAAAACAACAACAAAAAACAAATAACCAACCAAAAAAAAAAAAGACACAAAACAAAAACACACAGGAAGCTGAAAAGGATGAAGGGGAAGATGCTACAGAGTTTCATGCTAGGGCCAATGTATGTTTGTTTTGTGCCAAAATGTATTCTGTTATAGCAGCTGGGAAATAATAAAACCATTGCATACCTAAAGCGTGCTCAGAGGGAACTGAATCTTAAGCTCATCTCATTTTATGCATATGCTTGCTTTTGAGATGATGCTCAGTGAAACATGGCAGGTTAAATGCAAGTAGATTTTTTACTGAATTGCCAAAAATATTATTTTTTTTGTTACTAATAATATACTACTCCTTTCCATGGCACGTGAGTTTCTTCTCGAACTGCAGAATTTTTATCTGAGTGGTATAGCTTTCGTACGGCTGGGGTATATGTTAGCAGCCCACTTATTTATTTTAGATATGTGCCTTATTGCTGGTTGCACTAAACATATTGCCGGGGTCAGGAGCGGGGGGTATGGATTGCGTAGTGTAACAGTGCTGTAGTGATGCTGTTCCTGACTTAGGAGTTCTGATAGACCTGAGGTTGTTTTACAAGGGGCTTTATGGGTTAATATAATGAATCCACCTTAATTTGTATGGCTTCACAGCTGCTTAAACTAGATGAGTCAATATTGGCTAGTTGAGGTTATGAGTTGGTCATGAAATAACACTGCAAGAGCATTAACACAAGTCCTGTTATCAGAAGTGTGTGGCTGCACTGAGAGCTTACTGAGAAGGTGCCTTTTTAAAAGTTGAACAGAGTATTTTTACAAAGTTAAGATACAATTTAAGATAAAATCCTGACTACATTACTAACAGACTTAGTAATACATTGCTTTATATAACAGCTGCTCTTTTACTCACTGAAAGTTTTGCTTTTTTTTTTTTTTTTGGAATAGATTTGAGTATCCTAAGCCAAAATGCTTCAGCAGAGAGAGCTAGAACTATTCTAGCTGTGGAGACTTCTCCTACAGAGCTGGTGGGGGAACAAGCAGCTTCCCAGCCTGCGCCAGTCCAACCAAGTGCCATCAATTTCTCACTTAAACAATGGAGCACTGAAATCAAGTAAGTTGGTGACATGGGGGAATGATAGCTGCTGGCAGAGACAGTTTCCTACTTGAATCCTACAGATCTGAAATACATGAAGTTTGAATTCCTGAGCAAAAATGTGGTAGACCCGTTCTGAACAACAGCAAACCCACAGCCTGTCCCCTCGCTCTTACTGAGTTTACTCTTTAGTATTAGTTGTTTTAAGGAAAGCAGCAATATTCTTTTTCAGCTCTCGTGTTTACAGTTTCCTTCTGTTTTTTTTTTTTCTATTTTACTTTGCCAGCATAGACGAATCTTCCGCTTCTATTTGAAGGATATTGCAGTACTATTACAGAGCAGTTCACAAAGCAGAGCTGTGGCTTGGGTAACTAGACCACATCCCTCTTCAGCTGTCAATAAAATGTTGTTTGGTTTCAACAGCAGTGCACGCTAAGTTAAACATCCCTTTTAAAGCCTTCCTGTTAAGCACAGATCTGAGAGGTCACAAAGTATGCTACTTGGCTTTTTTTTTTTTTTTTTTTTAACGGCTGTAGATGCACAAGAATGTTGCTCGTGTTTTAAAACTTCCTTCTTGATTTTTTTTTTCTGAATTGCAGGCGATGTGCTTTGGGGAAGTCTAGATAGAAGGGCAGTGTCAGGGTAAGCTTCTCAGTGTTGCCTGGTTTGTGTGTTCTATTGTTTCCCTTAAACAGGGCAGAAAGGCTGGTAGTTGAGCTAGGGTTTGGGAGGCCCTATTGGTGGGAGAGAGTTATTTCTGGTGGTCCAGCAGCTATTCTAGCATAACATTGCTGGCTCTTTTGTGTGTAGCTGTGATCCTAATGGTTTGGAGTCTGTGCAGATCTCTGCCAATATGTAAGAAAGAAAACTGCACGCTCTGAAGCTCTTGTAGGGTGAATGTCTCCTTCCTCTATTCCACTCTTTCTGGAGATGTTCAGCTGCAGTGGTTCATCTCTGAAAATGTTCCTGGAAAAAAATAAGATAATATCTACTAACAGGTTTTGTTTTTTAAAAAAAAAAATGAAGTTACGGATTTTTTTTACATGGTGTACTCTAGTGTCCCCTCTAAATCTTAAAGCAGGCATTCCTTCTTGCAAACTGATAACAGTGTGAAATGGTGTTACTGTCAGGATTGTTCATTATGCTCAAATGTACTCTCCTGAGCTTTTCAAAAGTCATTTTGCAGAGGATTTACTGAGCCAGCAGTGAAAATCTGAAGTGTATATGTGGACAGTTGCACACTGTCTTTGGCCATGTCTTTTGTCCCTGAGACAAGAGTGACAACCTTGTCAGAAGCTAGTTAGTTGCACAGTAACATGCCAAAACCTCTTGACAGATGTGTTTGCCTTAGCAGAGCCCTTGCAGGAACTTGCTTTTAAAGCTATGGACTGGTATTACCCCTGCCTGTTTTGAGCTAGCGAGTCACAAGCACTTCAGTTCCTGTGTCTAGTAAGATAAATTTGCTTTGGGATTTTAATCTGTAGCAGTCATCTAATCTATGCTGTTTTCACAAGAAAGAGGGATTTTCTTCTCTGAAGGATTGATTACAGGCAATTCCTTTTAATGGCTGTTAACAGCTGCTCCAGAGCGGGCTAGGGCATTTATAACCTTAATTTGAGCTTCGTCTGTGTTAAGTGTTTAAGTAAGCATAGTTATGTGCTTCCAATTCCTAAATCTTTCCCTCATTTAGTCCTACAATGAATGATGCCCAATTGATAAACATGACTGTTCAGTAATAGTGCAAGTGTCCCTCAGGCAACAGCCTTTCTCCTTGCACAGCTTTGGTTTATGCTTAAGCCATTTTAAATGGCATTCGCGTGAAAAAGCATGGATTATGTAGGTTTTATATGTTAACATGTGCAAGGAATCAGGCTGCATATACGATCTCAGTTGTCACTTTTGATTGACAAGTGATCTTTTACTGGACTGATGATCATTCATGCGTGTGCCACAAGAGGTCTGGTTAGTTGTATTAAACCTCCATGTAGGGCAAGGTTGTTAATGTTTTCATAGTGGAGAAAGGGAATTATTAAACTTGAGAATTAATCACCTCTAGAAGATGTGTGCACTATCTAATATCCTGTTGGATTGTGACTAGTTTTAACCCCAGTGTTAGAGAATCAGTCAAGGTGTCTCTAAAACTTCAGAGAATTTTCCACATTACTGGAGGATGTATTCAAGTATCCATAATGTCTTAGTCATGGACTTAGCTTTGCTCTTGAACACACTTACGGTGTTTTTGCCAGAGAATGTGTTCCTATAACAACTGCATTTATATCCTAAGGAGCAGTGGTGAGTTAAGGTGGAAGAAAGTGAAAAACGGGTCTTTGAGATAAGCTGTATGTATGTTTACAGTAGCTAAAGCTGAAACATGATTTTCTATTTCTTTAAAATCTATCTTTAAGCACTGATGGTGTTCAAGCCTGATTTTTTTTTTTTGTCTCGCTGTCACCTTCTTGCATCTCTTGATTGTGTAGAACACACACGAAAGTATACCGGACGTGGGTAACGTCAAGTTACATAAAATAAGACTTAAAATAAAAACATTTAAAAATAAGGAATCAGTAGATCATATGTTCAGATCTTAGTTTCTGTTATACTTTGCTTAGGAAAATAAATGGTTTTGTTGTTTTTTCAAATTTTCTTATCTAACAGAAAGCAATGAAGCTGTCATAGTAAAGTACATGTAACAATTCTGTGCAAGAGCTTTACAAAAATCAGCATCAGCTGTGATTATTCATGGGCCTAACAGCATTTTAAAAGGTTTTCTAGGAGTAATTTGACTTCCTGTATCTTGTGAGTTGTGAAGCTTCAAAAGGTGGTTTTTGGACACGCTTTAAATACTGACGTTGACCATGGCCAGAAAAGGCAGCTGGGGAGTGCATTCTAAGAGATGAGCCACTCTTCAGAGAATAGCTGTAGAGATGCCAGCTGATGATAACTTTGGGTGGCCTAGGAAATGCACTGATCATCGTCTAATTTGATCTATTTGCTCTGAACATTAAAATGGGGCTTCTTCCTCCCAACTGAAGTGGTGACCTTACTGAAAAGACTGGAAGGAGATTAAAGGTGTTGTGCAACTCTATCTCTGTCACGCTTGCAAATTGATTGTTAAAATAGTCTTATTAATAACCTTTAGGAATATTTTTGAGTTGTACTTGATTGTTAATCAGTTAACCAGATTATAGGAAACTTGCACTGCATAATGAATGATTAGCCTATGATCAGGCCTTTTCAGCCTGACAAGATATTTGACATCTGATCAAAGACTGGATTGGATCACGAAGTAATCGTGAAGGTGTCATATAGCTTGCTTTCTGTTTACAGTTTGCAGAGTAAGAAGAGAGAATGGGGCTGACTGAGTGTAAGCATCTCTGTGGGCTTCCATCTGCGAAGACTATGTAGGAAATGCTGATACTAAATGTATTTCTTTTCTACTTTTGTCTAAAACACTAAGCTGGTTCATGTGGATTGGTGTGGAATTCCCTGTAATCAAACAAAAAGACTTGACAATACTGAGCTACATTAATATTCAGACTTTGGATCATACATAAGTGTGGACTTGAACATTTTTGGCAGCATGATTGTTGTGCTGGGGAAGCTGGGTAGGGGAATCATATCTTGTTTGTGAAATATATTGCTCTCTTGTAGAATTATCTGTTTGGAATGTAGAGGTTGCCTCTGAAATGTTCTTGTAGATAATTGGCAATGTTCCACCTCAGGAAGGAAAAACTGCTAAGGAGTCAATCAGCAGCAGCTACAGCAGGTCCCTTGGATGATCCCAAGTTTGATGTTAATCCAGAATGTGATACTATAACGTGTGTGTTTTGTCTGCATGCTATTCTGTTTAATGCTTGGTGATTATCCTAAAATTTAGAGCTAAAATAACCAATCAATAAAGAGATGCTGCTTTGAAATCTTTCTCTTTTTCCTTGCCAAAACAAGGATAAAACAGGATGATAGAAAAGACCACGGGGGTCTACTAAAATATTTATTTATTGTTGAAGTGAAAGAATTCTTCTGTTTTGAAACATACAGTAGTTGATAGCTGGTCTTGTTTAATGGGATATGCTTTATTTCCTTCGAGCTTTTGTTTGGTTTTGGTTATGTTTGTGTTTTTAGCTTATGTTTTTGTTTGCATTGTTTCAGCTACAGTGGTTGTCTTAAAAAATAATGATAAAATGAATACAAAATGGACAAATGTTGGTCTCTTTTTCTGTTGTGCTTTTCACAGAAATTCAATGTCATCTTTAAGAAAAGGGAATAACGAAAATCGCAAGAGCATATTTTATACCAGTGAAGAGTGGGAATTGCTGGATCCAACCCCAAAAGACTTGGAGGACTCCATGGCCCTGGAAGAAAAGAGGAAAAACTTCGCAGAAGGAAGTAAAGGTAGAAATGGGAGGAAGGAAGAGGAGCTCTTGCCCTTCCTCCTTTATTGTAGTGCATTGTGATACCAGTATCTCTGGGAAATTAGTTAAAATTTATCATTTATTCACACATCACATCCAGAGTTCTGTTAACTCTTTTTAAAATTACTTGTTTGTGATGTGTTTGAGAGTATTGAGCTGTTTAAATGTTCCGAAGAGTCTAATAAGTATATTTTTAAAGGAAATTTGAATGCTTTGAAATACCTGTTAATTAAATGACATTTTATGTAGGTCTGACTGGTTCAGCTTTTCCATTTGATTTTGGCCGCATTCCACAAAAACCGAGACGCCCTTTAAAAGACATGATTGGATCAAGCAAAAACCGGAACAGCAGCGACTCCTCTCCAACTGAGTGGTGTTCTGGTAATGGCAACAAACTAGTCTCTGAACTGCAACTGAAGTATCAAAGCCAGCAAGAAGAACTGGAAAAGCTGAAGAAAGATCTTCTGAGCCAAAAGGTAACTAAGCCTTCAGGCAAAGTGCATAAATGCAAATGGATGTGACAGGTAATTGTTTACCCTTTACAGATACCTAACTATATTAAGAGCCACCATTGTTGGTAGAAAATAATGGTATGAAATGAACCTTTATTTATTACAAGTCTTGAATCAAGGACGACTTATGTGTATCTTACTCTTTGAAGCTAGCTTTCCCAGTGTCTGCAAAGATCTTGACAGATAATGCAGAAGATAAAAAGCTCTGATTAGTACCTGTAATTCCTGAGGAACTCCTCCTTTCAAGTTTTTCTTTTTTGTTTTTGTTGTTTCCTTTGCTGCAGAAGAGGAGAGTGGCAGAATGGTAACTGACACCTTCCCACTCCTATTGCATCACAGTGTATCAGCACAAAAAGATCTTGTGAATCATAGACCCTAAGCATAAATCTATACATTTAGTATTGCCCTCATACAGTGTTCATGCTTGTATGCCCCCTGCTTGCTCAGATTTATTAAATAACTTGGTTTTTACCTGAAGTAATTTCTCCTCATTTTAAGAAGAAATAGAGTTTAGGTCATGCTTAGTGCTGCTAGGTTTGCTATTTGTGTTCTCCAGTATACAAGATGATCAAAGGGAAAACAAAGAAATGAATGCCTTTACATGCATTTGAGGTGTTCTTTCCAAGGAGTACCTTTGTGCTTCTCAGACAGGTTTTGTGTGAAATCTCACTGTGCTCTAATGGAACATTGTGTTTCAGCTCCTTCTGTCCTCATAAGAAAAAGAATACGTACGTCTCAAGTAGCTTGACATATTCTCACTGTTGATACCAGGCTGGATTTAGAACTGTGATAAATGATGGCAAGGTACAATTAGGATGTTTTCCTTGGCAACATGAGTGACTAGACAGATCTTGTATTTTAGTCTATTTTTAGAGAGTAGACTGTAATTGATAACCTACTGTGCAGTTGCTGTTTACAAGCAAGGTCATCTATCACATATGTCCCTGTTGAGTAGGTTTCTCTGATAACTGAATGTCAATTGACATGTAAGTTACCAGTCTGGGTGCTGTTATTTTTGATAAATAGAACACTTGAATATCACAGAACTATGCCCATGAAATCATCCAGCTATTTAGTGATTAGCAGTTCAGTCCAGTAGTGTTAAGATAGTAACACCGTCAAATCACAATGGAGGAAGGAAGAAAATCTAGTTTCTCAAGCTTTTCCTCAACAAATGATCCTTCACAGACCCCTCTAAAGACTGTAGCTTGATATTTGACTCTGTAGACCCAGGTCTTTACAGTTTACTCTTCATTGTTTTGGGGAAACGAAACCTAATCTGTTAGAGCTTTGCAACACTCCCAAAATCAGTGGTTCATTCTAGGCATGTCTAAGACTTTCCACGTCTTCGTAAATTTCCAGATATATTTATTCAACTCAAGCTTTAGGAATTTCATAAACAAATTCCTATTTTTGTCCTTGTATTAATGAGTGTCAGAATTATTTAAAAAACGATTGAAGTCCTAGTTTCACTGATAGGTGTTGGAGATACTTCTAGGCTTGAACTTAGCCCTCCTGTGGTTCCACAGCATTAGACCATTAACCAAAAATGGGAAACAGGAGAGGTAATAACGTATATTAATGAGACGTGCCTGTCAGCAGTCTGCTGTTCTTCCTTATGTAGTGTGTTGATCTGGAATATCTTCTTGTTATATAGCTTTTACACTTCAGCTTTTGGAGAGCTTCTGGTAATAGTAAAGGTAGAGTCTGCTTTAGCAGTATGTATTCTATTTTAAAATTTCATTCTTTAACTTTGCATGTAACAAACTTTGCTGGATAGTAGCTGGTATTCTCATTCAGGAGCAGTTCAAGACTCAGCCCAGATCTTGTTCACAGAAAACTTAAGTTTCTGAAAGTTGTAGTAGGATCTCATCCCAGCAAGGATGCAAGCAGGGGTTTACTTTCAGTGTAACTGCCTTAAAAATCAGCTGCTTTTGTGTGTGTATACCTTTAGGCATCTTTCATGCAAGTAAAATAAGTATTGTAGTGTTGTAATGGTTCAGGGTTTGTGCATTCCCATGGACAAGGATACTGGTTATATTTTTTAATGAGGAAATAGATGACAAAAATGGTAAGAATCACTGGATAAATTCGTTGTTGCTTAAAAAAAATAAAATATTCAGAGACTTCATTGTTTTGTGCAAAGACCACAGAAACTCCCTTCTCTTCTTTGTGGCAAGTCAGTTAATTAATTGGTTCTGTAGCAAGGCTTTTCAAAACAAGGCTGCAAAGACTTTCTTTTAGCAAAGCAGAATGTGTTTTTTTTCCTCCTTAGTAGCTTTTCTGCATTTGTTAGGGAAGAGGACAGTTAGTTATCTTTCACTTCTCTGTACTGTAACATTCTTGTTTTTTGTTTTTTGTTTTTTTGTTTTGTTTTGTTGTTTAAGCCCTTCTCATTTCTTAGAACAGGGCTTCTTACAAGTAAGTGGTTTTCAGCTTCCATGTAAGTGCTTTGCTGTAGCTGTCAACAGTTCTTCCTGAACTGGCTGTAGCCTTTCCAGGAAAGGTCCTTAGCTCAGGGAAAGATACTTAAGCCATTCACATAAACCAATCAGTGTGAGGTATTAACCTGTTAGAAACCATGTCCTGGAAGTGTTTCCTTTTTTCCTTAAACACCATCGTAAGTTTGTTATAAATAAACTCAGATGCAAAAAATAAAATAATAATTCCAAAGCTTACTTGTATTTGACATTAGATTTCTAAGCTATAAATTCTCCAGCTTTGTTTTTTCAGTTCATTCTTTTTTCTTTTAAATTCTCAGGAACTTGTGCGACTTCTGCAGCAAACAGTCCGATCTTCCCAATATGATAAATACTTTGCAAGCCGTCTGTGTGAGGGGGTTCCCAAAGACAAATTAGAGCTGTTGCACCAAAAAGACGACCAGATTTTGGGTCTCAACAACCAGCTTGAAAAGTTAAATCTGGAAAAAGATAGTCTGCAGCAGGAAGTAAAGAATCTAAAATGTAAAGTTGGAGAACTCAATGAGCGGCTGGGTATGTTGATGGAAACTATTCAAGCTAAAGATGAAGTGATAATGAAACTGTCTCATCAACTCAGCGAATGTGAGGACAATACGTCATCCCAAAGTGGCGCAGTAAATTCTCCCACAGCCACCTGTATTAATAAGGAACTACAGGAACTGGACAGACTAAAAGTAAGAGCAATGTCTCTGTCTTGATGGATAGGGAAATCTCTGCTGCCTTTAAAAACTACTTTCTAGTCTGCTCTATTTTCCGGGGAGATAACTTCAGCATTTCTCCAAGATACTCATCACCTGAGGCTTTCTCTCCTTGGAATCTGCACTTTGAACTGTTGTGTGAACAATTTAAACAGGACTTCTATACTTTGAGCTGGTCTGTGCAGCTGTAGTACAGTATCTCATACATTTGGTAATTTAGTCTTTGGTGTGGAGGAAGAGCGATGTGAGAAGTAATCAAAGGAACAGGAAAACAGTAAGGGTAAGAAAATATAAGCATGGAGGAATATGACCAAAATGCTTGGTTTTTATTTCTTTAATATCAAATGTGAGGAAACAAAAAGCACGAAGAATGAATGGTAAAGGAGAAAAGAAAAGAGGAATATAAGAACCTGTATTACTAATGATGCTCCAGATGTTATCAATGCATGTTATTCTTTTAACTGACCTCAGTGAATGTGGCAGGTTCTTATGGAGTTGCTGAAGTAACCCACTTTGCTTTGAACACTCCTACTTGCCTTTGGATAAATGTTGATTCCACACTGAAGTTCCAAGCGATTTGGAATATGAGACGCATAGAATATATTAAAAGGTTCATAGCTTTATTTCTTGTATGTAAGCCTGGAAGTTTTAGGAAATAAAATTGAAACTAGAAATCAGTAGTCTGGGCAGAAAGGAGAACAAAGCTTGCAGATGCTCATTGTGGGGATGTTGTAGTTGTTGAGAGTCCCTCATCTCACAACCTCAACCTTCAGAAGTAGTATTTGTAACCTGGAGACGAGTGAATTTGGTGAGGAAGCTTTTGGTAAGGATTTATATTTTTGTGTGGATGCAGACATGACTGAGGACAGGTAGGGTAACAAAAACCCAGGGGTCGTTTGCTCCCAGTTCTTGTACTGCATGTTCTTCTGGCTGGTGCGCAACACCACAACCCCTCTGGCATGTTCAGCATGCATGTTTTGTTCTTCTTGAGGTGCAGTGAGGGGCAGCTTCACAGGGCTGGTCCTGCCTCATGCCTGCAAGCAGTGAGCAACTGCCTTCTGCTGGGGCATAGCACAGTGCAAGTGAGGCCCAGCACCAGCCTGTACACATCCGTGCTCATAGCTATCTAGCCTCTGTGTTTGACTTAAGTGGACACTAAAAATACTTGGTTTGATCTTAGTTATTTTAGTAGCTATTAGTATACCTGTTAGTAGCTGCTTGGTCTCTGTTCTGAAATATACTTTCTCTGGTAGGTGTTTGCAATCTGTAAGATATATTTATTAAAAATCCAGTTTGTTTTCTTTCATTAACAGGACAATCTTCAGGGTTATAAGACCCAGAACAAATTTTTAAACAAGGAGATTTTGGAGCTTTCTGCTCTACGAAGAAATGCAGAAGTGAGAGAGAGAGAATGGCAGGCAAAGGTCAGATTAACACAGCATGTTTTCATTTTGGCTATGTCTAATGCAGTTTTCAAAAATTCACTTGTAAATCTACTCAAGGAACTTAACTGTAACAGAATTGGAACAATTCAAAAGTATGACCTGATAGAGTCAGTTGAAAAACAAACACAGTCTTACAGATCAATGTATCTGAATGGATTCTTGAAAAATGTGGTAGATTTTTAGAATACTGTTCAGTGCATTATTTCATGATTTATGAACACAGGCATGTGTACATGTATTTCTGCAAGCATATATCACTTGCTCAGCATTAAAACTGCAGTAGCTTAAAGTATGCCAAAAACAGGGTGTGTACGAAAGGATGTGATAGTGTTTTCTTTTAATGGCATGTCACAGAATAGGGCTTTCCCCTCTTGAGCATGAAGGATGACTAAGTTACGGTAAATGTAACTTTGGAAGTGTTTCATCTGTGGATGAATTTAAGTGTAGAGAAGTTGCAGGTAAATGATAGATTTACACTGCCGTGGGCAAATAGTGTACACACACTTGTTGCTAAGGCAAGATACCTGTTGCTAAGTTTCATGGGGTGTGCCTCTCTTTATAGGGAGGTGGTGTGCACAGCTGCCAAATCTAGAGGCTGTATTTTTGGCATGGAAGTTTGTTGACAACTGCTAAATGCAGTTACCTAACTACTTAATATCTTCAAAATTCCATATGAGTTCTTGGGGTTCAGGTGTGCATAGAGAAAAACTATTTCTCTAGAAGCACAAAATGATTGGGTTGTACTTCATACAATGTAATAACAAAGTTTACTCAGATTTTCTGCATATAAATATACCTATGGTAGAAATACAGGTGGACTACTATTCTGCCTTTAAAGAATTCTGTAAAAAAGTGACAAGTATCTGAGGTATCTTACTCAAGTATTTTGTGTGCAGAGATTTATTATATTGTAATAAAAATGTCTGCATAGCGTATATTTTCCATGTTAGAGTTGCTTTATGTTTCCTGGTGCTACACAACTGGGAAGTAAAGTTCTTGAATTAAATATCTTTAAGCAACTGGAATGAGTAGAAGAGTATTGAATCAGATTTGAAGAGATGTGTGGTACAAACTAAATGTCTGAAGACGTGTTCTAAATAGTGTATGTTGTTTTCTGCAGTATACTAGCTTGGAAGCCAAACTCTGTCAGATAGAAAGTAAATACTTGATCTTGCTTCAAGAAATGAAAACTCCTGTTTGTTCTGAGGAGCAGAGCCCTGCTCGTGAGGTTATTGCACAGTTACTAGAAGATGCCTTGAAAGCAGAAACCAGCGAACAACCAGAACAAGCATTTTTCAAACCATACCCGGTCAGGTAATTTATACCCATATGTTTTATATATATACACGCTTTTTAATTGCATAAAATTATGTTGTGAACACACCTTTATCTGTAGTAATAAAGGAAGTACCATCATTGGCAGCCAGAGCACCTACCTCTCAGATGAATTCTATCACACCTCAGGCATTTGTTGTGGGTATCTTGACCACTGGGCATGGTTCTAACAGTGGAAAACAGATGGTGGGGATATATATTTGCAGGACTTGGAGTTTTTAATGTATTTCCCATCACAAGTAATGGTATAATAAGGAAATTCTTCTGGATATATAAATAAGTGAAGTACTTTATTTGAAATACAGTATGGAATTTAAACTCAACTGTTGCTATATAGCTGCTGAAGGTGAGCAACTGAAGAGATGGACTAATTAGGACTTGACCCTGTTCTTAAATAAATCTCTTAATCTGTGCAGTGATGTATATATTGGTATATGGGCACAAAGTCTTTTTGAATGTGATTTTAGAATATTAAATAAAATAGTTTAGAAAAATGTCTGAATATAGTTCAGTTGAAACTTCTTGAAAACTATGGGGAGCAGTCTGAGGGGTATTGGTAATAACCTTAGGATGGGAACTTTCAGGATTGCTGAACACATCTTTAGGATCACTTTTTTTTTTCTTCTGTCCTTTCAGTGAATATGATATATATGGTTTCCAAACAGTTCCAGAAGATGATGAGGAAGAGAAACTAGTAGCAAAATCACGAGCTTTGGACCTGAGATCCCTTTCTCTCAGTGAAAATCGGGAGATCTCCACAGGGGTAAAATGGGAAAACTATCTTGCAAGTACAATGAATAGAGAGATGATGCGCTGTGTGGAACTAAAGAACCTTATTCGATCTGGGATTCCACATGAGCATCGCTCCAAGATATGGAAATGGTGTGTCAATCTCCATGTTAAAAAATTCAAGGACAGCACAGTTCCTGGGTACTTCCAGACCTTGCTTCAGAATGCCCTAGAAAAACAAAATCCTGCATCTAAACAGATTGAATTGGATCTCTTGAGAACTTTGCCAAACAACAAACATTATTCTTCCCCAACATCTGAAGGGATCCAAAAACTGCGAAATGTGCTGCTGGCGTTTTCATGGAGAAATCCAGATATAGGTTATTGCCAAGGGCTCAACAGGTAAGATTTTGTCAACTGTAAGTTATAACTATGCAGTGAAAGAAACAATGTGCAGTTTCAAAACACTTCCATAGCAACAGCCTTTTGGACAGCAGTTCTCCTCATGGGTTGTATGCAATTCGTAATGTTGTAATAAGTAGATAATTACCATGTTTTTAAACAATAAAAAACAGAAGATTTGGATCATGAGACTTCTAAAAGCAGCTCTGCAAAATTGGAACTGGCATTAATTCGTAGGAAATGGACTACTTAAATGTAGGTTTTGCAAGGTCTTCATGTCAACTCTAGGGAATCCTTTTGTGTGCAAGAATTTGTTAGCAGGTTTTTTGTATGCTTTTTTAAATAAGCAGAAATAAACGCTTGAAACCTTATTTTTGTGTGTGTCTTAAGGCCACAGATTTCATCATTTCTTTCAGGATGTCTTCAGTCAAAGTTGCAGTAATCGTATTAAGGACTATTTTGGTGCTACAAGGCTAGGCAAAATTTGAAGTATAATGTCATTGGCATTTGCTGAAGTAGGTCTGGTAGTGCGAGATCTGTAGTGAAGGAAGGTGTTATCTGAAAGAGATGTGTTAGTCTAACGTGCCGTTGTCCCCATGTTGTAATTCCACAGATGTCAGGTTGTGTACTAGTTGATATACCAGAATAGGGTAAAAGACTTGAACTAGAGCAGCTGTATCATTTGAAATGTGCACTGAAGAAGGGTACTTCTTGTTTCTTACTGAAATGAATAAAAATATTTGGATTGGCTGAGAAGGCATCTCGTTGCCTCAATTGAAGCTGCATTATCTCTTATTAATCCATTTATGTCTGCTGAACAAAAACAAAGGCTCTATTGTAATTCATCTTCATGCATTTTGTGGTATTTATTATAATGTTCTTCTCCAAATAAACCCTGTTTTCAGATTGGTAGCAATTGCTCTTCTGTATTTGGAACAGGAAGATGCATTTTGGTGTCTAGTAACGATAGTGGAAGTTTTCATGCCTCGTGATTATTATACGAAAACACTGCTGGGATCTCAGGTACGTGCTGTGCCAAAATAAAGCCTGGCCTGTAAACTGTAGCCAGTTGAAAACTTTGTTCTAAAACTGTTTGGTATGCCTTTTGGGGGTGGGAGTGGGGAGTATGTAATGAGCTGGTCGAAGTGAGTTACAGGCACCAGGGACAAGGACTCTGAGTATAGAGCTGAAGTGAATGTTCAGTGACCTGCTTGGAGCTCCAGTTCTTAACCCCTCATCTAACTTAGTTTCACAATGTTGATGGAACTGATTGTTTGTTTGCTTCCTCAAAATTAGTGGGATGGGCTGTGGGCTGTCTTGGGGAGTAGGGGTTGGAATACATTCTGCAGTATTGTGATCAGTATACACCTTAGGGCTCCTCTGCTTCTAGGCAGTGCTCTTCAGTGCTGCTTTCTCCCTTCTCCAGATCTCTCTCCAGCTCGTTCTTTACTCTGGTGCTTGTGCACTGATGCAGCACAAGTGACCAGTAGCAGGAACACAACATCTGTGTGTGAGGAGTCCTCTAAGATGGGGTGGATTATGAAGCAAAAGGTTGTTTCAGCAAGGGAGGTGTGCTTTGGAGTAATGGTGTATGGGTTGGGTGCATATAGCATAGAAATGTTGACTTGACAGTCCTGGGACACCTAGTGAGCTCTAGAAAAATCAGTCCTACTTTGAACCATGTGTATGTTGGAAAATATAGGATCAATAATATAATGTGTCTTCTTTTTAGGTTGATCAGCGAGTATTCAAAGATTTAATGAGTGAGAAACTTCCACGACTGCATGCTCATTTTGAACAGTACAAAGTCGACTATACTCTTATAACTTTCAACTGGTTTCTTGTGGTATTTGTGGACAGTGTTGTTAGTGACATCCTTTTTAAAATATGGGACTCATTCCTATATGAGGGACCAAAGGTGAACTGAATAAGCTGAGTTTTTCAGTTGTTATCTGGTAACAAGATACTGTGGTGTAACTGTTTCAGGGTGCAGGAAGTTGGTTTCATGGGAATCCTGTCACTTAAACTTTGCATACCCGCCATTTTTTTTACCATTGAAAAATAAAGCTATAGGCAGTGCTGTCAATCAGTTTACAATAATTATACAAAAATTGGAGGTAATGTTATAAAGAAGAAAACTTAAGGAGGAGAAAGAAGCATTGAAAAGATGTAAAAATTAGTTGTAACCAAGTATTAATGATGTCTCTGCAGCAACTATTTGCTTTATTTCTGCAGACATCTAAATTTACAGTTGGCCAATAATGACTTTTTGGGCTGGATTCAAAGGATCAAAAGGATTCAATGACTCTTAATAATGACTCCCTATCATAAAATAAGGGGATGGAGATGTAAGAACTTTAATGTTTCATACTTGTGAAATTGTAGTGAAAAAATCAGTGCAGGGCTATCACTGAATTTGAACCCAGTAATAGCATTAAAGCAGATGTTGGAGAGAATACGAGATCTATAAAATAGAAAAAAATCACTTAGTAGTTAGATATCTTGTGAACTTCATCTGAGCATTCTAACACAGTGGTATTTTGTGAAGGCAGCTCTGCACAGACAAATTTAAAACTCCCTGAAGCCTTTTCAGAACGAAGTAATGCTTTTTCTAGTTTATGACAAAGTTGATTGACAAGCTGATATCAAACTCCTACTGCATCAGTCCCCCAACATGTTGGGAAAATGGCACTGGAAAACAACTTGTTAATTAATAAGCAAGACTTAATTTTATCTCTGCAGTAATTTAGTAGTGTATTCAGTAGTCTTTACAGCTTTGAATTACGAAATCAAAACTTCAGAGTTTATATCCTGTAAACCCAATGTTGTATCCTGGATTGAACTGCAGAACGCCTTGTATTGGTTACAGGCTGTAACAGATGTTTTGGGCAGCTCTTGGAAATGAGGGATAGATCAGGCAGGAGATATGGAGGTATGATTAGATAGCTTAAATGCAAGCTGTAGGAGAAGTAATACTATATGTAATATAGTATAATAATATAGTATATGTATAATATTGTATATATTATATATACTACAATAATATAATAGCTAAAAGCAGAATGCTTTTTATTTGTATCAAACATTGATAAATGTCTTATATTTGTATCAAACATTGATAAAAACGTATGTATCAATGTTTGATACAAAGAATCAAACATTATATTTGTTTTTATCAGGTAATATTCCGATTTGCCCTGGCACTCTTTAAGTACAAAGAAGAAGAAATCTTAAAACTACAAGATTCGATGTCCATTTTCAAGTACCTTCGGTATTTCACACGTACTATACTTGATGCTAGGTGAGTAATTCACACATGCACTTGAAAGACCTGTGGTGAGGCATGGGACAAGTTGTCTTTTTTTTTTTTGGGGGGGGGGGGAGGGTTGTTTGGATGGTGGTTTTGAATCTGAACCTAAATTTTGATATAAAACAACTGGAGATGAAACTAATTGCTAACACTTCTCATGAACAGTTGATCTAGCATCATCTTCAAACACTGTGAATGATTAGGTTTCATGATATAAAAAAGGAGAGGTGACAAAAACAGAAGTGAATGGGTAATTGTAGTTGTTTTGAGGGGGGGGGGGTTGATTACTTAGCCAGGTTGGTATTGTTTAGTAGTTGTATAATGGTAGTAAAATTTAAGAAGCTTAGCCATGAGTAAAAAGTCTCACCCTGCATTGTGGATACAACTTAAGTTGTAAATTGTTGTAAATTGTTGTTGTGGATACAACTTAAGTTGTAAATGTTTTATAGTAAATAAAAGCACATCTTGGCTCAAATATTAAAAGCGTGAACTGGGTCCCACTAGAATTAGATCTGTTACGTACTGCTAATGTATAGGTTAATGCCATGCAACTCGCTGATTTTAAGAACATTAAAGGAGACATAAAATACCAGTTATATACTCTTCTGTTCCTCAGTCCTTGCCTAGGAACTAAGGTTCTCATCAGTGATGGTATAATGTTTTAAGTTCCTGGTTTCAAGAGTGCAGAGCAGCAGATTGAAATGAAAAAGAGATCATGCTGGGTTAGGTTTAATGCTGGAAGAAAAAATAATTGCATAGATACTAAGACTTGCTGATTTTGAATTCAATATAAAATAATACATTGGAATCCAAGGCATTGTTTTTACTATAATAAATTCCAGACAGAATTATGGTTATATTTTGTCTCCTACTTTTAAGAGCTATTTACTATTTTTAATTCCTGACTTGCAGTTTTAACTGGAACAATGTAAAACTGAATAATCTCATTCTTAGCTTAAAAAGGATTGCTGGGACTGATGCAGGGAGAATATTCTGCACCTGCTTTAGATGGTGAAAGTCTTGGTAACAGCTGCTGCTTTCTCTGCTGAAACATCTGTGAAAACTCTTGAGGGAGAGTAGCATGGTGCTTGGTATTTTAGCATTCTCTCTTTGATTTGAAAAATGCTGAGCACTTGTTGTACTCAACCATTTGTGACTGATGAAATGCTGACTGTGCTTCCAAATCTGGAAGGGACAGAAAAGAATGTTTTTGGTTTTGGGAAGAAGGGGCACATATTTTTAAAACAGCAACAAATAAAACCTTTTTTTTTTTTTTAAAAAAAAAAAAAGCAACTCAGATTTGTGGATATTTTAAGAATGTATCCTATAATCAAATGAATAATGTGTATCCCAGCAGCACCATGAATAACTGAAGGTTGGAAAATGTGATGGAGGAGTCAGAAATTTAGATTTGGTTTTCCTTTCTTCTTACTGTTATGTAAAGCATGTGATGATTTCTCTCTCCTCTAAAATATCTGGTGCTGAGATATCTTTAAAGTATCTGTAACATAGTTCAGGTAAGGCCGGAATTCAGTGCATCAAAAGTGTATATAGTGCAAATACATGCTATGATGGTCTGTAAATCGTGCTTTCATGGGATTTTAGAAGTCAAAGTTACAAGGATGGTGTAGTGGCGTGTAGTGCCACCTAGGGGATATTAACTTCCATGTCAGAACTGATTTGTGTGATCATACTGTAAAATTATTCAAACCAACTTGTCTCTTATTCTACCTTTTTTTGTGCAAGTTTTACAACATCAAAATTTAAACAGTACAGAAATGTGTAGAATTATGTCTGATACTGATACAGACAAAAAAAATCATCCTGTAGAAGAGAAATTCCAAAAGACTATTTTTATAGAACTCATGAATATACTCAATGAGTTAGAAACAGTGCAAAATAATTTGTAAGTTTAAGCTCTCTAATGGAGAAAAGTATATACCAAAATGCAGATAAGCATACTTCAGGTTATAGGACATCATAGGCTGTGTATTTACCTAGTTTTTTTTACAGGTGGTAATTGTTTTCCATATGCACGCAGGTAGAGAGGCTGTTGGAGTATACTCTGTTCATAAATAGCAGGAAATGGTTGTTTCTTACACAAAAATACAAACCTAGGGAGAGCTTACTCTTAAATAAACTGTCCAAATAAATTGTCTTAGTATTAGGTTTCAGCTGATAATGAAACTAGACTAAGTTTAACTCCAGTTCCCCTTTTTCTTTCAGTAAGTAGTAAGAACTTGTTTAGGTGCAGATCAACAGTAATCAAATAATGAACTGTATCTTTGGACTGACAAGGCAGATCAGTGACTACTTTCATTGTGACTGTATGATGGGACACCATAGCATGTCTCTGGAAGAGCTCTTGTGGTGCCTTGCTGTGTGATCTGACTAGCTTGAGCTGCCACTAGCTCAGATCTCTGCTCCATCCAGCAAAAGTCCTGAGCTTTATCACTGTATCACAGTTTGTCTTTAACGTGTTTTGTGCTATCCTTGTTTTCACGTGTACCATCCCAGGCTTTATCTGGTCTCTTGCACCACTTCATTATCCTGGATAAGTTGAGAGATGACTGTCCTGGGGTTGAATGAGCTTTCCAGTGTATAACCGGGTATCTGGATGTACCGTGTATTCAACCTAGTCAATGAAGATCTGAATAGCCAAGCTTACATCTTCTATTCAGTGTTGTCAGGAACTTTAACTGTTATAGTTGTATATAGAATTTGCAGGTGGCTTTGAGGACTGGTGTGTGTTTCAGAACATGTTACCACTTGAAGTAACTAAAACTGAGTACTTCATAGAACTTGTTTTCAATCTTGATAACATCTGAGATCTGTCAGGTATGTGAAGGAAAATAGAGATGTCAGTCACATGCTAGATACTGATACTACTGAGGTACAAAACTGATTTTAAAAGATTCTAAATGTGAATGATTATTGTGTTATGTTGTATAATCTTACAGGAAACTGACTGGTATTGCTTTTGGAGACCTGAATCCTTTTCCATTACGTCAGATCAGGAACCGAAGGACCTATCACCTGGAGAAAGTACGTCTTGAACTAACTGAACTCGAAGCCATTCGTGAGGATTTCCTGCGTGAACGAGAGACCTGTGTAGAAAAAAGAGACCTTATTAGTGATGATGAGGAGGATAGTTGAAACTACTCAACATAAACTTTTCTTTGGGATCGTGACCAAAGTGAGTTAACCTCCAAAACACTTTATTAATCCTATCAAACCGAATGTAAACTAGTTGCTTTTGGAAATATGCAGGACAAATTTCCAAACCCCAGCACTTTCAGATATATGGCATTGTATGGAGGCTGAACACTTTTGTTTACAATTATGTTCATGGAAATGTATGTAGGGCACTTAATATCTGTCTCAGTTTAGTCATACAGCTGAACTGCTGAAACAACAATTGACAGTTGTTTTCCTGCAGCACATTTAGTGTCTATATGTGAAACAGTAGTAACAAAAGCCTGCACTCTGTTTACTACATTCATTGCCAAGCTTCTGTATCTGTTTGACTGTAACCATGTTTTTTATAGAGCAGGTTCAATGTGGGTGGGTTTTCAGTTTTGGATTGGCTCAATAAATAATTTTATTTCTATTCACTGTTTTTCTGATGGCTGTCTCAAAAAAGCCACACCTAAAACCCAGCTGTTATGGAATAAGAATGGAGCTTGCTACAGGAGTACTATGTATTAGTTCTGTATCCATTGAAGGTATTTTTTTCCATTATTTTGAGTTGAAATCACTCTTCCTATTTAGGGCTTCAAGTCCTGATCTTTAAAAAGAAATACAGCATTTTGTCTGCATGATTGTATAGCTATTATGTAGTAGTGATAGAGATTAAAGACAAGTGAGTCAATCAAAGGAGCCTAAAGGCCACAGCATGCACGTATAAATTTATGATACTTTTTCCAGTGGAAAAATTAAAGATTCTCTTAACGTACTCGAGTTTGCTGTGAATGTTAAGTGCACCCACTTCAAGACATCTGTAAGGAAATGGTTGCAATGTTATGGAAATGTCAGTGGAGGCGATGCTTGCTTGTGACTACCAGTACTCTTAAATGGTTCTGAGGATGAGGAGGCTTTTTGGCTTTTTTTGTTTGTTTGTTGGTTTGGTTTTGTTTTGCTGGTTATTCACTGAACTCTTGCAATGTTCCTCCTTGAGTTGTTGGATCTTCATAATGTTAGATTGACTTAGATGTTGTCTCTGAACAGATGATGATAAAACTAACATTCAAAATAGGTCAGCTCTTGGGGAGTGGTTAATTAGCAAAAAATTAAACTTGTGGTCAGGAATGGTCCAAGTGCATGAAGCTTCTACTCTGTTCTCAGAAGACCAACAAGTAGAATTTGTATGACAGGTACACTTGTGTAAACATTTTAGAAAATCCAAGTGTGTGCGGGGAGAAATCCAGCTTCTTTTTCACAGCACTTTTTTAAGGGATGTATTTATAGCCTTCTCTAAGCATATTATTAATCAATTTATCTGAGAGGGAAATACTTAGGTGAAAAGTAATTTACAGGACTTCTTTTGATATATACTGTATGCCTTTTCCTGTATAATGTATAACTTCAAATTAGCCAACAAATCCTTGCCAGTGAGGGACACATGGTATGATCATCTTGATTTGTATGACATGTATCTTGTAAAATGTCCCCTACCTTGTCTTTTGTAAGTGGTAGTTTTAGGGTTCTTTTTCCTAGTTACTCTTGGTTGTTTACTTGAACTTGTTAGGCAGGGTTTTTTCATATTATTGCATGTACTGTATTCTTTTTTTTAACCTACAATCAGTATTTGAATATAAAAGTGGGACCAGCTTTTCTAATTTTCTAGTTATGCTGTCTTTGTTTTGAAAGAGCTGGTCTCTAAATGGGTCTATAATGTCCATTTTTTTTTCTTTTCATCATGGTTTCAAGTGTTAAATGAAAACTTCTAACTTGAAGATCTTCCTTCTTTTGGCAACAGTTGAAATGCTAAGGTGAAGAACTTAGAAATATGTACCTTATTCTCCTACAAGTCTACTATTGCAAAGTTTTGAGTCTTCAGTTAGAACTAGATCTATGACTTCAGGAGATGTTTTCGTACAGAATACATCTAAGTCTTTAGGTTGTGAAGCTAAAACTAACTTCAGGGCAACAGTTCAGGAAGATCTGTAGATGACAAAACATGACCTGCAATGTTAACAAGACTTTTTTTTTCAGTTGTGCCGAAGGTTAAATTACCATGTGTATTATTGTGGTTCGTTATAAAAGTTGTTACCTGATTGTACAGTAAAATTAAGTAGCTCTGTTTCTTATTCCATTATGTGAATCTAAAACATGAATAGTAGGAAATTATGCAAATCACGCTGTCTCTGGGTATTTTGTTAGCCTTCAATTATGAAATAAGTTAGTGTTAATTTACTGAAGTTCCTAGCAAGATGTTGACTTCATTTTGTTAATAATCATTGATGCCTTAGTTAAAAGGTCAAAAAATTTGAAGAGGCATCTAAACTATGACTGCTAGAAATCCATGTAGAACAAAAATGAGACAAATGCAGCAGGTAGCAACTTCAAGGGAAGCTTTCCTCACTGTTACAAATGTCTTTAGGCAAACACTAGTTTTCTACTGGTGCTTAATTTGGTGATTTTGAGGAGCAGTAACTAGTTAGGGATACGCAGGATATACAACCAGTATTTAAACCAAATGAAATCAAACGAAAATACAGTGTGACTTGTCAGCCTTGCAAAAGCTGAACTGTGTAGATACCAGGTGCTCACAATTCGGGGAGAACTTCCAAAACAGTATATGAGGATTTAACATCCATACCAGCCACTTAGGAGGAAATTGACCTGTTTAATGCAAATGAAGACTGCAGAGGTTTTTTTTAATCTTCAAGATCATGCATGTGTGCAGAATTTCTTAGGTATGGTTCCCAGTATGTTATAAAAACCAAACTGCTAATGTGCATATTGCAGAATATTTCTCCATCTTTGTGTGCTTATGCATGACTTTCAGTGAAATTTCTGGTTACTTGGTTAAAAATGTTCTGTTACCTTTTATTAAATAGGCAGAAGTTTGGTGCACAACACCTCTAGCTATTAAGTCTTCGTAGTATTTCAGCTTTACTTGGACATGTATATAGGTAGTGTTATCATCAAGTGTTACCAGATTTTTTAACCAGGTATGTAATGAATAAAAATATTTCATTGCCCTTTAGGTGTTTTCTGTGACAGATATGCACCTTGCCCTCAGTCATTGAAACATGGTAAGACATTTCAGCAGAAAGGGAAAGATTTTTGTTCCTTAAGACATCGAGAATAAATGAATGGTTCTACACTTGGTAAACTGAGTTGTTTGTTCAGTCATGCTTACGTGAGAAATGGAAAACGAGTCACTTTATTTCACTAAATTGTGTAGCTGTTTTGCTGAATCTTCCCTTAAGTGCCATGTTGGAAATAAGCAATATGCGGTACAAGAAATTTGAATCACAAAACATAAGTGATGTTATTTTTGTAAAAAAAAAAAATTTAAAAAAAAGTTGTGAGAAAAAAAAATAAATTGTTTACTTTGCATTACAGCTTGCTCTGGTTCTTTTTTCATAACAGATGGAATAACTGCAGGTGCCATCAGAACAAATCCCTAGTAAAGCAGGTGTTTTTGTCTGATAATGTGATTTCAGAGAGTATAGAGGAACAAACATGCAAATTTGGCTTTGAAACATGAAGATGTGAACTATAGACATTTAGCATGCAGGTGATGCTGTCTGGGTAAACTTGTGATTGGTTTCCTTAGTTTCTGGGAGGGATGGGAGAAGAAGATTAACTTTCCATGAGTGCTTACAGGGAACAGACTTCCTAAGAAACTTGAATATTTGTATAGTATCTCCTAACACAGCCTCTTTAGCAGAATGCTCTTGTCCTGTAGCTCTGCTACAGGATGGCAAGCTGTTAAGAGTAGGTATTGGCACAGCTGGGAATTGGTTCAAAGTTTTCTTACACAATAGGATAGAGAGCAGCAACTGAGGAAAAAATTACTCAGGCCTAAAGAGAACCTCCTGTCCTGTATACTGAAAGTTTTAAGTCTGAGGAATAAACAGAAAATTCTGGAAAGAGAATGCAAGATCTGTCTTGGACACTTTGCATATTTAGTATGAGCAGGTTGTGTTGTCCCAGCAGCTGCTGGGGCCTGTTGAATAACAGCTGAGGCTACTGTTTCCTCCTTGGGACTGAGCTCAAGACAGTTGTTCTCAACGGAATTGCAACAAGAATGCAAGTGCAGTTGCTGATAAATGTTAAGAGACTTATTCCTGAGAAATACATTATTTTAGCAAGGATAAATAGAGCTGATCAAGTCTGACCTGAGAGCAAATATCTGCAAAATCTTGTTCTCTATTCAGAGTAACTCAGAGATGTGGAGAACATGCTGATGTCTGCTGGTGTTGTATTATAGTATATCAGGTATTCACTCTATGGGATTTTCAGAAGTGCTAAACATAGGTTCCTTATCTGCAGCTCCTTGACCTCACTGGAAGCAGAATCCATGTAGTGCTGAGGCTTTAAGATTTCCCACACATGAAGGCCGTGAAGTATATTCACTGAGATAATGCAAAGGAAGGGTGTGCTCTGCCTTGGAAGCTCTCCCCCTGGTAAAGAAGGTAAAAGGTTCAGTCACGAAGAAGTTAGTAGAATGGTGTTTTGTCATGATACTGTGCTGTACTCCTCTACAATTCTATATATCTGACAACCAACTCTGCACTGTCAACGTGACTAGCTTTTCAGAGGAAGGACTAGACTGGTAAGCACAACTCAGGAATATGTGCTGAAGATTTAAAAAAAAAAAAAAAAAAGCAGTTATTAAAGCAGTCACTTAATAAGAAAACTGCCTGTTGTAGAGAAGTAAATAGGATAATTAAAACTTTAAACATTAGAATATAGATGAGGAAATTAACAAGACTTTGGCCTTAATTCAGTTGCACCTAGTCTTGAATGATTACATCGTGCCTGTGTGTTTCAAGTAAGATGTACTTTATGTATGTACAAAAGTTATATATTTTTTGCAGTGAGATACCTCTAAGACTTGATGTTTGAGCTGATGAACTGACTCGATGCCTTCAGGCACCATGATTGGTGATTAAACCATGAAAATACCCTGTTTACCTGTTTTTGTAAAGGCAAGTGGTGTTTTTTCTGGTGTTTACCCATGGGACATCCCCGTGGAAAAGTAAGGTATGGGCTTCATTCTTCATTATTTTCTAAAAGAGACTGGTAAATACATGGCTAGCAGACATGGCGTTTATCTTCAGAATTCGCTGACTTACCAGGCTGCTTGTGCTGCCTGCTTTGGAAGCTACTCAGGTTTGACTTTTCCTGCTTAATCTTGTCCTTTATGCATATTAAGTCTTTTGCCCTGATTGCCAGAGATGATACAAAGAAATCTGAGTTAAAATGTTCTAAAGGAAACTGAACAACTAAACCAGGTGAGAGCAGTTTCTTATTTATGCAGAACCTATATTTTTGCATGTAAACCTTGTGGGTACAGTATTGGGGATTAGATTCCATCTACCCTTGTGTTTTGGGAGACCTTGTAGGGCTGGTCAGTAGAAACTAAATTCAAAGAGGGTTATTCAGGGACTAGGGAGAGGTTGTCCTGATTTCAAAAGTGTCTGTGGCCTGTCAGGGCAAACTGTTGTTTTTTCCCTTTGTAGCTATGAGCAAACAAAAGAAGCAGCCTTCCTTGTGTGCCCTTTTCTCTGAGATTTTTGTAGGAGTACTGATGTGACTTGCATGTGATCATACCACATTGTAGAACTAAAGGTGAGGAATGAAGTCTCTTTATTTCCTGTTTCAATTCATTCTGATGGCATTTGAAACCTTTACTATTGCTCCCATTTCCTGTCCTCCACCCTCTGTAATATCAAATACAGCTACTTTCCTTTCTGATTTGGGAGAACTGGGTGGAACTCCTGGGCTGTGGAGCAGGGGCACAGTTCAGTCTGGTTGACTTGAAGTCTGAAGCCAAGTTTCTAACTGTGATAATAAAAAGCACAGCATTTAGGCTTTTGCCTAATATAAAACTATTTTGAAATTCATTATATCACCTTAGCAATGTTTTGCAATGGAAACAGGCCACCTGTTTATGCATAATTTGCTATAGCTTTGCTTTATCTTAACTGCGTACAGAACTGTAAGTAAAGGCAGCCTTTGTATTAAAAGCATTTATGTTCAGTCTGTAAGGTGTGAAAAATACCACAATGGCTCATTAACAAATGTTGGATATTAACTTGCCTGGAATAAATGTTAGGAGACCATACAGTATTTATCACAGTTACTGTCTGCTGAAAAGAGAGAGAAAATCCAGTTTTACAGGTCTGGGGAATGTCTTTAAGACAGGAGAATAAACAAATGAAGGATGTAGTTCTCAAAATTTCGTCTAGGGCAACTTGGCCAGCAGTATGGCAGCTGGTTCTTATAGTAGCATGCTAATTCATTTTGAGTTGCACAGTGAAGACTGGCCACTCTTTGAATCCCAGTGTTTTCTTGAAACAGGAAAGTTCACTTGGCGACTTTGAATTTTAGGCCACACATAAAACAATGTAACCTTGTATTTAGGCTTGTATAGAATATAGGAGAAGGTTCCTCTCTCATTAGAGTTTCTCTGTAATTAATTCATCTCTTTGGTATTAATTCCTTGTTATTCTGTTCTTGTATTCTGAATCTACTTAAAGCAAAGGAAATCAGGTCCGACACCTGAAATATTCCCAAACCAGCTTGGGAGAACTGTCATAGTCTGGAAGGTTATATAAGGACTTACATCTCAAGTGTGGGAATACAAATACAAGGCTGTCAAATTCTGGGATTATGTGTGCCGCTTGCATGCAACACATTCTTATCAAAATAGTCTTGTTCAAGCCATGTCAGGAACCATTACATTTTTTGCATGTGTCCTTGGTTAAACTTTGTTATCATTGCAGAGTAACTCAGCTTGCCCACTGACGAAATGGAGCACAACTGAATAAACAAGTGAGGACAATGTTTGTTTTTCAGATCCAGGGCTTGCTGATTTCTGAAGTAGCTTGCATTGTTGTGTAGTGCTGCTGAAAGCTGGAACAACATGAGCTATTTACTTAACCTTGGACCAATTGCTACCCCAACGGAGAAGGAGGGCGAGACACCTCGCAAGCAACCGGTGCCATTTCGGCGGTGATGCCTTGGGCTCTTGGGACTTCCTGGAGCAGAAGTCCTGCTGGGCAGCACTCGCTGCGGGGGCTCTGGTCCTGGCCCCCGCTATTCCTCCGTGAGTCAGGTGCGAGCCCTGAGTGTGCAGCGTGGGCTGTAAGAGCAGGGCCCTTACCTGGGAGCTCACGGGGAAGGTGGGGCTCAGCTCCCTGTGTAACTGCCTGCGTGGGGCTGCGGAGCCTCCCCGCTCGCTTTCCTTCCTCCCTGCGGTGCCCTGTGCCCCCCAGCCCCGGTGCCGGTGAGCCTGGCGGGGTCCCAGCACCCCGGCCTGGTGCCGTGAGGAGCCGGGGGGTGCAGCGGGGCCGTGCCGGCACACCTCGTCCCCCTTCCGCAGCCCGAGGCGCTGCGCTGAGCCGGCGGCTCCCCCGGCCCCAGCTGGCCCCGTGTCTCGGCGGCTCCCGGCCGCAGCCCGGCTTCCCCGGGCCCGTGAGGGGGCGCCGCGGCTCCCCGCGGCGGGGTGCGGGGCCCGGCCCGGCCCTCCCGTCCCCTCCCCTCCTCTCCTCTCCCCTCCCTCACGCCCAGGGGCGGGCGCCCGGCACGGCCCCGGCGGCTTCTCCCGGTGAGCGGCGCCCGCGCCGCCCCTTCAGCCCCCTCAGCCTCGGCCCTGAAGAGCCCCGCGGAGGGGCCGCGCCCGGCGGTAAGTGGGTGCCCGCAGCCCCCGGCGGCGTCCTTCCCTTTCTTTACCTTCCCCTCCCCTCCCCTCCTCACCTCCTCAGCCGTCCCTTCCCCGGCAGCTTCAGCGCTGTCCCCGCTCCGCGGCGGGGCTCGGGGGCTGAAGTGAGGCGACTGCGGAGCCCGTCGGGGCTGCCCGCGGCTCGGGCTGCTGCTCGGCCAGCCCCTCGGCCTCGGGTGCTTGGAGGCTTCGGTGGTTTCCACCCGCGGCTGTCAGCACGGGGGCAGGCAGCTCCCCGCATCATCTCAGCAAGCAGCAGCTTTCGGTTGTCCCTCAGCAGGTCCCACAAAGGCTGGGGAGCGAAGCAGGTTCAGAAGCACCCCTTTGTGTGACCAGGTGGATGGCTGGTTATGCCTCAGCTTATTGATGCCCTTGTGCACATGCCGTGCAGCTCCCGGTTATCTATAGATTCCATCCCGTCTTTTCCCTCAGAAGGTTTCAGGCAGGATCTGTGGGGTTTCTGAAGCCGAGCCCCTCTGGGCAGCACAAGCACAGCACAGTGCCTGGCCCGCATCCTTCTAGGGACAGCCAAGAGTGAAGGTGTGAACGGGAGGGTGGAAGCGCGTGGCAGCTGCTGCTTTGGCTGATCAGTCATGGTAGACAGAGCAAGGGGCTCTTAAGCCACGAGCACCAGCTGCAAAAGGCCCCAGAGTGGCGTGCTCACCTA